CGCTGATGGTCCACCACCAAGCGAGCCACCTCCAGCAGCTGCTCCTGAGCAGCCTCCTGCGGCGAATGATGGTCGGCTCCCGACCATCATAGAGGAAACAGAAGAGGATCTGGATGTCTTTGTCTTGGAGTCATGGTATGCTGAACTGATGGATGACAGAACACTCCTTGAAGCTGACACAGAAGAAGTCATGCACACAGTTCCGACATACATGACAGACTCACAGTGCGCGTTGGTCTCTACGACCTGTGAAGATGTGCAAGGCCACTTGCCGGTGCGGGGTCGCCCGCCAGGATACGACATGGACACTTCTTACTACGTTCCTCTGTGCTCCACTGATCCGGACAGCCACTATGATCTGGACTCCGACGAGCACGGGAAGTACATCGAGCTTTGCTTCACAGCAGACATGTCCAAGGTCGTCCTGTCCGAGCAGCAACACCGATTGTTGGATGACAGCAGCGTCACAACTATGCGAGTATATGTTAGTGCTGCCTCCAAACGCGCCGCGGTCGTCAAAGAAGACGACCTACTCACGAAGGCCGACATTCAAGCGAATCCGGTCAAAGTTTCCAAAGCCCTTTACACAGAATTGAAGACTTGGCTTGACAACAAATGCTTCCAGATGACTGACTTGAGCAAAGCGTCGAACATCATGACTTCACGCTATGTATACAAATGGAAGTTTGTCAAGAACGAGAAGGGCGAAATGGAACGGACGATCAGGTTACGCTTGGTACTTCGTGGCTTCATGGACATTGAAGCCTTCGATGTCGAAACCTTCTCTGGCACGGCAAGGAGGTCAAACCAGAGACTGCTCGCAAGTTCTGCTGCACGCAACAAAGCTTGGATCGTCGCTTCCCTGGATATCAACATGGCTTTCTTGAAGGGACTGACCTATAGCGAGCTCGCCGCGGCAACGGGCGAGAAAGAGCGTGTGGTGTGCTTCGCACTACCTCCTGGGTCAGCAGCTGTCCTTCGCACATTGCCAGGCTTTGAGTCATATGACGAATCAAAGCATTGTCTTCGGTGCCTGAAGCCGGGGACTGGCACGAAGGATGCCCCCAGGGCATTCTCGCTGAAGCTCAGGTCCATCACCAGGAGCTTTGGACTACAGCCTACTTCATACGATGAAGAGTTCGAGATGAGTTCAAACCTCTTGACAGCCAAACACGTTGATGACATCAATATGACTGGGAAGGAAGATTCCATTGATAAGTACGTCAAATGTGTTGAAGATACGTTTGGAAAGTGCAAACTGAACAAGCACACATACACAAACTGTGCCGTTCGGTACAACAAGACCGATGATGGGAGCGTCACTCTTGATCAGGACGAATACATCAAACAACTTCGTCCTATCACACATCCAGAACTCACAGGCGCTGATCCTGAGAGCAAAGCGACAAAGACGATTTCTGATATGTTCGTCAGTCTTCGTGGCGCTCTAGCCTATGCGTTGATCACGCAGGTATGGCTGATGGTCTATGTTGTCTCACTGCAACGTATCCAGGAACCGACAAACATCCAGGTACGACGACTGAACGCGGTTACCAGGAAATTGCAGGCAGGTCCGAAGAAGATCGTGTATCAAGCTATGACTCCAACAGGAGAGGTCGACCTGCATAGCGATTCTGGCTATCGTCGTCTCAACGGAGATGAAGACGACGAAGTCAAAGGCTACGGTATCCGCGGGGCTAACCTGCTGAGGCGTGGCCACACGCAAGCGGGGAAACCCGTCGTGCACCTGGTGGACGCATACTGCAAGTCTCATCGACTGCAGGTGCGTTCGAGCTACTCTGCGGAAACACTGGCAGCAGCCCACAACTTGGAAGACTGCTACCCGACCATTGTAACGCTCCACGAGCTACACTCGGGACCATTGACCCCCACACAGTTGAAGAACATATTGGAAATGGGTGGTCTATGTATCAAAGTCACTCTGACTATTGATGCCGAGTCTGTCTTCAAGTCTTTGTCTAGCAAAGATCTGAAGAAGCCCACAGAATGCACTCTGCTTGGGCGCATTAGCTGGATCCGCCAGATGATGGAGCGCGGAATCGTTGAAAGCGTCCAATGGTGTGACACGCGGGATATGACTGCCGATGGTCATACCAAAGGTAGTATTGACCGCGCGTTGCTCCTACAGGTAATGGCCGGTCAGCAATCCTTCAAGCACGAGCTGAAGAAGCATACTCCGTATAGGGCGGGCAGGTCGTCTCAGGACGGCCCTGCCTCCCGAGCTGGCGGGGAAACCCGCATGCAGGTGCGCTCTAGTAGCGAGGAAACTCGCCGGTAGCGAGGCTACTCGCGCGCCCTTGCCTTGTAGGCAGCCGCTGTTGCCTAGCACTGTTTCTCCGCGTAATGAAGAAATGCGGTGCTTGCTCGTCTCCTCCCCCTCCAACTTTAAACGGAGAGGGTTAAAGGCGAGATGTATGTCGAGCATGCACCGCTGCCGTGCCTGGCTCAAGCCGGGCCCGGCCGAACATGTGATTGTGCCTCACTGAGGCGCACTACTTGCATCTGAGATCGGAAAAGACCTTTCTATTGACGATGCCCCTTCTATCGTTTACTCCAGATCCCATGCTTCATCTTGCTCTCTTGCTCATGCGATATGAGACAAAGCCTGGGATATGGGAGCGCCTAAGGCGGAACATATATCTTGGCTGACCAGTGCGCTTTCGACTCAGATCTGATCCCCTCCTGTCTGCTGCAGGGCCTCTGGGAGCCACTTTGGGAACCCAGCCCTCCCTCCATGCTCGAGCCCCCTGTCGAAGCGGAGGCGGGGCGCAGCGCAGAGGAGGGAGCTGTGGGGCCCAGAGTTGGCGACGCATATTCAAATTGCAATCCTTCGGACCGCTCAGGAGAGGACGACCTCAGCGAGATGCACGACGGTTTTGACAATCTCTTCACTGTTGACGCGTCGCTTGGTGTCCCTGCTACGTCTTGTGGTATACGGCGTACGTGCACCACGGTCCACATTGTCCAGCTCGTCGATGCGGCGCTCATCGCGGTGTTGGAGGGTCACACTTGCGACGGTTTCTCGGTGGTTACTGCTGAAGCTGATGGGTCCGACTCCGAGGCTCTGTGGTGCAGGGACCGCGGCATGTTCGTATGCCCCTGGTGCTGGCCGCCCTGGCTGGAGAAGCGTATCGACGTGATTGCGAGTTCATCAAAGTGATCACCTCGTGGTCTGCCTGGCCGTCGTCTTCGTGCAGCCGTACACGTACGGCCAGGAGGAGCGGAGTGGTGGGGGTCTCCGCCAGAGGCGTGCAGCAGCACAAAAAAAAATCCGCCTTCTTTTCCTCCTCCTCCTCCTCCTCCTCCTCCTCCTCCTCCTCCTCCTCCTCCTCCTCCTCCTCCTCCTCCTCCTCCTCTAGTAGTGTTCTTCGTGTTTGTTGGATGTTTTTGTGCCCCCTGGGGAGGGCCCCTTCGGATGTTTGGCTTGTTTTGGCCGACGGAGGATCTCGCGTTCTTAAAGGATGTTCTTCTGGCCTGGGTCCGACTCGGAAATCTGCTGCGTGCAGCTGGTTTCCGCCCCGCCGCCAGGCCCATTCCTCGACACCTGGGCGTCTCCCAGCGCCAGGAGGCGCCAGGACGAGCAGCTACGTGGGCCGACTACAGTCAACCATGATAGTAAGGATGGGGCAACTTCACAAGGCTACCCTAGCATCCTTGCCCCTTCGGTATTCGGCATCCTTCGGCATTCTGCTGCGCCCCCCCCCCCCCTGGGCTGCCTCTGGTCATCGTCGCTGCGTCCCCGCCGTGGGCGCTGCTGGCGGCCGCCAGCGCCAGCGCCGGCGCCGAGGGGGGGGGGTGACCCCCCTCCCCCTTGTCGTAGAAACCAGCAGGCCTTCCAAGTCTTGCCACGGTCACTGCATCAAAGCACGGGTTTGGCTACCCTTTCAGAGCTGCAAATGCCTAGGGCATCGGGCTCGGCAGCCGCAGTACTCAAAGAGCTTCCAATGGTGCCACCCACTAGTCAGTAGGAACTCACGCCGGGGACCTGAAGCGTAATTGCGCTCGAGTCGCCCTTGTTGGAGCACACCGCCAGTAAATCTACCAATCATTCCGCCTACGATGCGCAGGTGCCTATGCTTGCCATTCACCTTCTCTGCTTCAGGCGAGGAGGGCTGAGGAAGATAGCGCGCCTGGCTCGAGCATCCGCGCGCCAGCTGCCAGCTCATATGGGCCTGCCAGGCCTTGAGAGCGTACCGACATGAGCACGATCTCTGTGCGAAGGCGTGTGCCGTACGTCGGGCATGTGCCCAGCTTTCTCGTGGAGCAGCGCCGTGCCGCTGCGGATTTTGGTGACGGTGCCTTCGAATTACTTCGTACAGAGGGCTGGCGTTGAACTTCTGAGCCACGGTCAGAGGAGGGAGGAGAATGGATGAGGGGGGAAATGAGGGAATAGGGATGATGGTGATGATGATGCTGCTGCTGATGGTGGTGGTGATGGCGATGATGATGGTGATGATGATGGTGGTGAGTGATGGTGAAGGTGAAGGTGATGATGATGCTGAGGATGCTGATGATGATGATTATGGTTATGATGATGATGATGATGATGATGATGATGATGATGATGATGATGATGATGATGATGATGATGATGATGATGATGATGATGACTGATACTGATGATGATGATACTGATGATGATGCTGCTGATGATGATGGCGATGGTGGTGGTGGTGGTGGTGGTGGTGGTGGTGGTGGTGGTGGTGGTGGTGGTGGTGATGGTGATGGTGATAATGGTGATGGCGATGGTGATGCTGATACTGATGCTGATGATGGTCGTGGTGATGATGATGGTGATGATGATGATGATGAGGAGGAGGAGGAGCAGGAGGAGGGAGGAGGAGCGAGGAGGGGGAGGGAGGAAGGGAAGGGAGAGCTGGGTGGAAGGGGACGGAGGGAGGGAGCGACGGAGGAGGGAGCGGCGGCGGAGGGAGCCGAGGGAGGGCGGGGCGGGGTGCGCCCTGGCTCCGCCGCCACAGGCGGGGCCTCGGCCGCCTCGGCCGAGAGCAGGGCCATCCAGAGCCTGAAGGCAGAGGCGCCCAGCGCGCCCCCGCCGCCTCGGCGAGGAGGGGGTGCGGGAGGCTTTTTGGGGGGGGAGGCGTGCGGCTCGAGGGCGCCGGAGCGTAAGGTTTTGCCGACGCGGTTTGGCGAGCGCGTGCTCGGGTCTGGGCGGTGCAGTGGTCGTGGGATGTCTGCAGCGGGAGCTCGCAGCAGATGTGAGGCTGGGTCGCGTCGTTTGCGTGATGACCCCGGCAGGCCAGCCCGAGTCCCCCTTAACCCGAGTCTTACGTCTCCCGGGGAGGAGGCAGGAGGTACATTGGAGGTGCAGTAGGTTCGTGTCGTGTCGACCGAGGTACGTGGGAGGTGCGGTAGGCATGGCAGGCACGCAGGAGGTACGGTCGGACCGAGATATGGCATCGAGGTTGGTTCGGGGAGGGTGCCCACATGTTCTTCGAGCTTGTTGGATGTTCTTGTGCATCCTGTGGGGAGGGTACTACCCTCGAATGTTCGTCAGTTTTGGCCAGCGGAGGGCCTGAAGGATGTCTTTCTATCCTAGGTCTGGCCGTAGGAAGTACAGTAGGTTCGTGTCGCGTCGACCGGCGGCGACCCCGCCGCCGGCGTTCAACGTTGAACGCTTCCGGCGACCCAGAATTCGTCGATGTTGAACGATCTAACATTTCGGAAACGGCCGATCTTTCACGGTTTAACGATCCCCGCGGTGTCAGAAACCAACGCGGAAGTCGGCACGATACGAAATTGCCGTAGGAGGGACGAGGAGGGCCCCATGTATCCTCGTGTTGTTCGTTGTGAAAGAGACAAAGACCGGAGGTTAGGGGGGGAGGATGGAGGGAGGAATATCTAATCCTCTTTCCCCTTACTCTCTCTGCCTACGTTCTTCCTTATCCTTTCGTCACCCAGATACACACAAACACACACACAAACACACGCACACACACAAACACACGCACACACACACACACACAAACACACACAAACACACACACACACGCGCGCTACACACTCCAGAGAGTGCGAGTGCAGTGGTGAGGAAGGCGGCGCTAGGGGTGACGGTAGGGCCGGCTGGGCGTTTCGCGTGAGACGTCCTCGCCATTGATGACCCCGAAGTTGTCAAGTTGTGACAGTTCCAACACTTACACGGACAGAAGGCGAGCCGTTTTCAACAAGTGGTTTTGGTTCTCGCCTTTGTGCCACGAACGTTCGTCTCAAAAGTTGCTAACAGCAGCGAGCACGTACGGCGAAAGGTTCTCAAGCTGCGGCTCTCGCCTCCGCGCTCGCGCACGTTCCGCCTCAGCACTTCCAACAGGCACGCTCCTCCTCCTCCTCCTCCTCCTCCTCCTGGAGTGTTCCTCCTCCTCCTCCTCCTCCTCCTCCTCCTCCTCCTCCTCCTCCTGGAGTCCTCCTCCTCCTCCTCCTCCTCCTCCTCCTCCTCCTCCTCCTCCTCCTCCTCCTCCTCCCAGCAGGAGGGTGGGCTCGCCCAGGATTCTCCGCGCCGGCGCCCCGTGCCCGCCCGTGGGCGCCTCGTGGGCGCCGGCAGGCTCTCCGCGCCTCGGGTGGGCAGCGCGGCCTGCAGGGCACGGCTCGCACCGCACGGCTCACGCGGCACGGCTCGCGCCACGGGGGCCGCACCGCACTGCTCGCACGGCGCAGCTCACACCGCACGGCCTTCACAGCAGGGCATGCACCGCAGGGCTCACACGACACGGCTGACGCAGCATAGCTGACACCACGTAGCTGAACCATTGATGGGGTCCGCGCTAGCTAATAGAAGGACGGCGGGCGGCTCCTTTTCAAAGTGGGTCTCTCGTCGCCGTCGTCGTCGTCGTCGTCGCGCCAATGTGGCCGTGACTGCCCCGGCAGGGGTCGCTCCCGACCGTCCTGGAGCGCCCAGAAGGAGAAAGAAAAGAGAGGAGGCGGAGGAGGAGCAGTGGGTGGAGGGAGAGGCGGGGGAGAAGGAGGAGGAGAAGGAGGATGAGGAGGAGGACTGGGCGGCGGTAGCTGGGGGGCGATTCGTGGGGGGGCAACGAGGGCTGCAGAGAAAGAGTCCTTTAGGGCCCCTTAAAGGGGCTTTGGAAGGCCCAGCGAGAGGCTCTCAGGGCCCGAAAAGGGCACTTGTCTTCCCCCGCACTTATCGCCCCCCCATGTGTTCGTGCCCAAAGCCGCAGAGACCTCCGTGTCAGTGGTTGTTCGCAGCGCCCGATGTCTTCGGTGCTGGTGCCTTCGAGCCGGGACCTCTGCACCCAGCGCCGCCCCGCTTCCCCGGGAGGCGCCGAAGTACGAGTGCACCAACTGCAGCGCCTAGGGGGCCCTCGCGAGCTCGGAGGCGCGCCCGCGCTCCCGCGCCCTGTCCCTCCTTCCTCCCCCCCTCCTCTCCCTGTCCTTCCTCCTCCCCCCCTCCCTCCTCCTTCAGTCCCTCCTCCCTCCTCCCTCCTCCCTCTCCCCTGGACGTCGGGGGGCGAGACTCCTCCCTCCCTCCTCCTTCAGTCCCTCCTCCCTCCTCCTTCGCCCTCTCCCCCCGACGTCGGGGGGCGAGAGCGCGGCCCCCCCCCACAAAGCGAGGGGGGCCGTGGCCCGTGTGCGCCCACGGCGCACGCAGGCCGGCACCGAGGCCGTCGTTTCACGCGCGCCGGTCCCTCCCTCCCTTTGTCGGGGGAGCGTAAGACCCGGGTTTGCCAGGACTCGGGTTCGCCATCGTTTTTTGGCGACCGCGCCTCGGATTTTGACGAGGAGGAGTTTCGTGGGATGTCTGCAGCGGGAGGCCTCGTCAAAATGCAGGCTCGGCCTCGTCATTTTTTTGACGACCTCGTCGGGGATTTCCGAGTCCCCTGTACCCAGGTCTTACGTCCCCCTGACTTTGGCTCGGGGGTGGACAGAACCCCCAACAGTGACACGTCGATGAGTGAATTGTCCGTTTTCGGTTCTCGAGAGGGCGCCGCGGCCGTTATTTTCCAGGCTTGCGCCCGCCAGGTTTGGACTCGAAGTCGTTTTCACTAAACCACGTTTTACTAAAGGGGGGTCTGTCCATCCCCGTTTGGCATCGGTCGGACATGTGTATTTTTGTTGTCGGCGAGGGCCACCGAGGAGCATCCGGGATGAATCAGCTGGCAGAGAATGGCACGCACGGGGCCAGCAAGTGCACGGGGGGCGGATCAAGCAGTGGCGAAGCGTCCTGGCTCGCCTGTGGGCCTACCAAAGAATGTTCTAAGAACCTCGTGTGGCTTCCACGAGATATGATTTGAACATGTCTGGCTGGGACTGTCATGTTTTAACCCATCGGGTTTATGTTATCAGAACCTTGTCTTTGCTCTTAGAACATGTCTGGGTTCTAAGAACATTTCGCGGTAGGCTTATAGAGATGCTGGGACGCTCGGTCCCTGCTCAAGTGGCCGTCCGAGCGATGCCACGTCCCTCCTCCCCCTCTTCCTCCTCTGGGCGATGGCGGGGGTGGCGTGGTCCTCTTGCCGCGTTGCGCCGCCCGCCTCGGCACTTGCTGCTCGAGCACGCAGTCGGCGCTGCCGCGCGTCGCATCGCCATCAACCGCCCTCTTCCCTCTCTCTCTGGAGGGCTGCGGGCCCAAACCTTGGGCGTCCCGAAGGAAGCAAGACGGGGGCTTCTCTCGGAGGAGACGGCCTGAACATGGACTTTCGACGGTCCGCGCGGGTGTCTCGGATCGGCGCTGGGGGTCCCCATGGCGGCGCCTCGGGCGCGCTCCGCGCGCCAGGGACGGGGAGTTCAGCGGAGATCCAAGAAGTTCGCGCGATTCTCCGAAAGTTCATGGTCCCTCCCTCCTCCTCCTCCTCCTCCTCCTCCTCCTCCATTCCTTTTCCTTATAAGTAACTTCTCCCTGTCGCACCCCGAAGGGCGGGTGGTTTACCACAGACGGAGAGCGGGTGGTTTTCAGAATGTGGTTTTCGCCTGAGCGCGTCGCGCATTCGTTTAAATAAATTGCAAGAATTTCACGGATTGAAGGTGGGTGGTTTTCAAAATGTGGTTCTCGCCTTAGCGCGGCGCGCATTCGTTTTAATTGTTTGCAAGAGCTTCACGGATTGAGGGTGGGTGGTCTTCAAAGCGGCGCATATTTGTTTTGAACATTTGCAAGAGTTTCATTGATTGAGGGCTGTTCTTTTTCAAAATTTGGCTCTCGCCTTAGCGCCGCGCAAATTCGTTTTCACAGTTTGCAAGAGCTTCACGGGTTGAGGGCGGTTCCTTTTCAAAATGAGGTTATCGCTTTAGCGCCGCGCACATTCGTTTTAAAAGCTCGTTAGAGTGTTACGGATTGAGGGTGGTTTCTTTTCAAAATGTGGTTATCGTCTTTAGCGCTGCGCACATGTTTTGACAACATGTGCAAGAGTTTCACGGATTCCCATCATCAACGTACCAGAAATTGTATTTTGAAAGGATTCAGGATTACGCGGGCGGAACAGTTACGTTGATCCGCTGTGTTAAAGTCCCAAGAATAGCGTTCTGGCACGATTCAGGGTCGTCAACACGCAACATTCAGGTTGATCCGTGGCATTGGAATCCCGAGAACAATGTTTTGGCATGCTTTAGAGTCTTCAAACGGTGTTTTTTCCAACGAGGCAGTTCCCCCAATGGAAATGAACCGTTGTCGGGGCTTCTGAAGAGGGAGCTCGGAGGGAGGGTTTATTCCAACATCGTTGATGATTATTGGGTTTACACTGGTCCTCCTCCTTCTCCTCCTTCTCCTCCTGCTCCTCCTCCTCCTGTGGCAGCAGCAGCGGCAGACGATGGTTTTTTGGACTTGAGCCAACGTGCGAACAGCAATACACACATGGCATTATGTCTGCTACAGCACACGACAGCACAAAACTATCGGGAACTAGGTATTGGTGTCCACATACTAAACCGGAGGGTCAAATCAGGCACGCTTCCACATGCCCCAAAGTTTCTAGCAGGTTTAGGGATCCCTTGTGGACACAAACTGCTAACTAAAATCAATAAACACGTGCTCACACGAGTGTAGCCCTGAAAGCACCCAGCATCGGCTTACTGGAACACCCCAGTGGTGTTCAGCACCAGAGCTGAGAGGCAAGGAGAGGAGAGAGAAGGAGAGGGAGGAGGGGGAACCACCAACACCACCACCGTCGGAGTCCTCCGGAGGAACCGTGAGGAACCCACTCCAGGAGACCATGTTCGTCTGGTTCAGGATTTTCCTGGCAGCCTGGGAACGATTCTTGAGTCCTGGATCTTCTCGTCTCCGCTCTACTTCGGAACTCTCATCTACGAGTACTAATCTCCCGCTGGTCATCAGGTCGAACAATGCTGCATTACACTTAGTAACGTCGTCTTTAGTGAGTGGGTCGACCGGCAGCCTGCCGTGCGGGATCCAGCGAACTCTGCCGTTGGCCTGTTCTAAAGCTTCACAGATAATTGCTAAGTCTATGGCAGTCCTTCGGTCCTTAGCACTGACATTGCCTTCCTTCATCATGGTGTCGTAGATGGACTTCGCGTCCACTACGTGTACTTGTCTGTCTCGGGATCCGAGTTGACAGTCACGGCGCAGCACTGTAGTAAACGGGCCGGACCTCCTGTGGTGATCACGGACGCTCACATCACCGAACAGCACATCTCGATAAAGGATCTGAAGGTATTCTACTTCCGCCACTGCTACTGAGAGAACTTGGGTCTCTCCAGCCAGAGTTGAAGGGACCTCCCGCCGAAGCTTAGAGCTTCTCCAGCCGAGAATGGACGCTTTTACAGCTTGGTTGTCCAACACGGCCTGGTCACACGCCGGCCGCCAGCACCATCCAGGCACCTTGGGTTGGGTCCTCAGGGAGTCCTTTCTCGTCAGTCAATGCGTCGAAGGCGCCCCCACACCTCCTGCATCAGAGAAGGACACGAAAGCCATATTGTCGGGATCCAGCTCCCAGACAAAGATGCCCCTGGACGCAGTGGACCAGAGGTGCCTGACTGACTTGTTGGCCATGGTGATGTCTCTGGTCGTGGCTGACTTCAGACGGCTGGCTAAGATGCTTGCTACACCTGCTGCCTCGGGGCGGACCTCTCGTCCGAGCCAGTTGAACTTCTATACGAGCGAGCGTAGGGCCTTAAACTCTGCCGGTTCAAGCGGGACGTCCTTGCGAGAAAGACGTCCACGAGCCACTGACAGAGGACGTACTTCTTCCAGGATATCTTTTTCCACGTCCACAGTGGCCCTCCTGGGCCCACTAGTAATACGTCTTCCAGCGAAATCAACGGGCCCAGTCCCACAGTCTCGATACTTCCCAAAACGGAATCGTGATTTCAGGTACTCTTGCAGCCATTTCCGGTCGTCGATTTCGAGCAGCATCATATTTTTGGTGCTCCCGTCGGGCACGCATCTAATCCACCAACAGGGTTCAAGCAGAGACCGTGAGAAACCATGGCGCTCGAGGAAGGTGACCACGGTCTTCCGCCAGGCCATCGGGGCGTCGTCTAGACCGTAGACATTGACCTTTAGGAGGATAAGTGAGCCTGGTGGCAGGTTAATCCCCTCACAAGGTTCTACATATATCTGACCCTGGGGCCTGGATATGGGATCGGACTGGCAAAACGTATGTTTCACATCGGCGATACCCGCAAACAAACCCAGGTTCATGACAACGTGCAGGACTATCATGATGCTGGACGTTTGGGAGGTCGGAGCATAGACGGCCAGGGCCCCGGAATCAGGATCACAATTGCCGTGGACACACCACCGTGACACAGCGTCGGGCCCCTGGAAGGTTCCCTCCACCGGCTTCCAGCGACGGACCATCCGACTGGATATGATCCTGTCGGAGTGGGCCTTCCGCACGGCGTCCGCCTTCGAGGGGGGAATCACCTCCACAGCTCCGGTGCCCATCATGGCGTCCCCTTCTTTTTAGCACCAGAAGCTCTGAGCTTGTCTCTCTCGGCGGGCGTCCAATGTTCTTCAGAGGCACCTCTCCTCCCCTATACTGGTGGCGAACACCTCGGACTCCTCGCAGTTCTCTGAAGTCATTGGCCTGGCCTGGACACCACCACCGACACCTCCGGGGAGGACGAGGAAGTCGGTGGCCTCTCCCGTCGGGGAGCGGCTCCTGCCTCGAACGGGAGGCCGGGGGGTGGCCGGCACCTCCAGGCCCCGCAGCATCTGGCCGGCCGGCCTCCGAGGCTCCAGCCTGCTGGCGGTGACCTGCCTGCCCGGCTCCTCCCCTCGGCTTCTGGCCGAGACCTCGGGGGAGATCGGGGGCGGCAAAGAGGGGGGTGATGACGAGGGGGGGGGATATCATGGCGTGGGCCATGATATTGCCCCAGATTTCATGGCGCCTCTTCTTACTT